TTTGCTTATCGCTCTCCATCCTTAATTCCTCTTAATACATCTCACAATAGCTTAATCAAGATTGATGTTTTATGTGATCGAAACTGGTTGTCAATGGCGGCGAATTTTGCATATCTCTACACAAGCCACATTATCACACATCAACAATGAGAAATCATCCTCTAAGCGGCGATCATTTAAATCACATTAAATAGCCGTCGAATGTGCCATTCAAAGATGTCTCTGTGATCGAGAGAAAAACCTAAGCGGAAAAGTGATCGATTAAGTGGGAAATATTCGAAAATTTGTTCTAACGGCAAAAAAATTGTCTAAACAAAAGAACCAATTTCTTCTTTCAGCAAAGCATCAAATCTCTTCAGGAAAGCATTCATCTTAGTGCCGACAATAAGTAATATAAGTGCTTACTCATCTCTGTTATCCAGCACTACAGATTGACATAATCTACATATGTAAATAAATATTTGACAGAGAGCGTTTTCGCAAGCAAATTTGCATAGCTGCACCAGCTGACTGTATAACAATAATTATGACATGGAGATGACATGGATAATTGGCACAGTCATATCCACGTAGGTAAATATAAGGATTAATGAATGCAAGGGGAACAGGGAACACGCAGTATTTGAAAACTGCAGCTTTTTGTACATGATACATTTGAAATGGCACACTTTTATTTTCATAAGCAAAACAATTTTCCTAAAATTCCCAAATTTCTAAGCAAAATTCAAATATCCGACCTGTCTCCTGAGAAGATGGAAATACTGTGCTGAAGTAGTGGGGTTGGCTACTCGGAGATTAATGTTCTCCCCATCTACTGGCTTCTGATCTTCACGAGAGTCACATAGTTGCAAGAATCTTGAACATTCAGCGTTAAAAAGCGACACAAATCAATCGCCTAGTTAAATTCACCTCTCCATCCTACAAGTACTGTGTTCTGGGCCCATACCATCTATTCCATGAGGGAGCAAGAGGGTTAGGCCAGATTGTGTCAACCATTTTCCTTTAATTACGCGATTTTTACTCATTTGCAGTACCAACTAACCACAACGAAAGACATTCAGTTGAACAGAAAGCTTGGAGAAAAAGGAAATGCCAACTACAATATCTTCAACATTGAAATTTATTCAAAAATCTCACCTTCACCACTGGCAAGGTAAGTATCAATGATGATCTGGGCTCCGTTGAAGAAATCTCCAAACTGAGCCTCCCATATACAAAGTTGTCGAGGACTTTCCATTGAATAACCATATTCGAATCCAAGAATAGCCTCTTCCGATAAAATATTATTAGCAACCTGGAAGAAAAATTTGCAAACTTCTTAATCACACTTAGGCATAAAAAAGTAACCTCCAAGTAGCCTTTCTGGTTATCTGCAATAAAGTTCAGTGGAATATGTGTGAGATCGGTGTCATTATCCACTAACATCGCATGCCTGCAAATATTTCTATCCAACATAGCAGCAAATTAGACTGCATCAACTGACCTAAAGCTAAATGTAGCTCTCCCTACATCTTGTCCGCTGATGCGCACATCATTTCCTTCCATCAGCAATGACCCAAAAGCGAGTGCCTGGAAAATCATGCATTTTTACGTGCTTAACACAATGGGCTAAGGACCTACCTCAGCAGTTCCCCAGTCGATGTTTTCGCCACTGATCATCTTCTGAATTCTTGCTTCACAGTGTGTTTTTTGCAAATGAGGATGAACTTTCTGGAATTTAATTTCTAACTTGCCAAAATTAGTTTTATTTGAGAGATTTGTAAACCTGGTCGACAACTCACAAATCCTTCAGGGACTTTGACCGATGCAGCTCCTATGTACTTTAGCAGATTTACGTCACAACCAGTGTCCCATGTCTGAATCTCAGGAGGTGCTTGTATGAAACCTTTCCAATTGCTCTCCAGGTGCTTAGCACTAAACAACGTTTTTGAGACATCTCATGAAATTCTGCTAAATTTCAGTAGCAAATGCTCTCATAATACTTTACTTTTCAAATTCATATATCACTTTTGTGCGATGTGTAATTGAGTTCCATGTTTGTCTTCAAACATCTCCTATAAATTTAGAACATACGCTTGTAGTCAATGTGATTACACACTGATTATCTTAGACAAACTGCATGCAAGCACTACTTATTCATAATATATGAAATATATTCGACAAAAGCAGAGTTCGCAAAAAGACAATCCACTTACACAGGTGGCGTTGAGTCAATAGCCCTGAAAGACTCCATCATTTTTGCTGAGTGCTCTTCTTTTATAGCCTTGACATCATCTTCTTTCATCAAACCTTCGCTGATCAGTTCATCAGCATACTGGCGAGGCACCGATTCACGGCATTCAATTATCTGAGAAATGTCAAACTAAAAATTCATTCCAAGAGAACGATCACCGCTTACTCTGTACATAAGAGGTTGTGTGAATGAGGGATCATCCAGTTCGTTGTGTCCCCAGCGACGGAAACACTGCATATTGATGAAGACATCCTTTCGAAATTTTTCGCGATAAGCCATAGCCAACCGGGTGGCTTTAACCACTTCCTAGAGTTAAGTGCATGTGAATAAAAAATTAATAGGATGGAGAAGAAAAATTACATTAGGATGGTCTCCATTGACATGGATGACAGGGTATTCGAACGCCTTGGCTATATCTAAACATATCAAATAATATTGCAGCTAAGGCCAATGGAAAAAAAAACATAACAATTCAGGTATGCATAAATACCGTAACTGCACAAAATGATGCTAAATAAAACTAGTGCAATAATATAAGTGAGTTACGCTGCATACACTTTACTCTACTCTGCTTGGCATTTGACGGTATAAACAAACCCACTTTACTTAGCCAGGGCGGAACGTCAATACCGTGGATTTGTAATGTGTAGCACTAAGTTATTCACCTGTACAATGAGTAGATGATCTCCCAATATGTGCTTCAGCTGTGAAAGCCACTTGATTATTCGTGACCAAATGGATTGTTCCTCCCAGTCGGAAATGTGGGGCCTGGCTTAAAGCAACAGACTCCCATACAATTCCCTAAATGCACTTTTTTCAATGAACCAATGATGTAAAGTTGAACGATAACCCAACCTGTCCAGTAAATGCACCATCTCCATGGACTAATACTGTCAGCACTCCATCTCCTGTTCGTGCCGATCGATCCTTAGAATAATCACCTAAGCCTAACGTCCTAAACAAGTTGCAATGTCAGAATCAA